GAATTGAAACACAATTTTCAATTTTCCATATACAATTCATAAACGACTAAAGTTCCTAAATCTCTCAATTTCAAAATCAATAACATTAATCAAACGGGAGAGAGGGAGAGATGACCCATCTTTCAATCAGCACCCAATTCAACTAAATTTGACAAAACCTACAACTTTCGAAGAGATCGAAAACCTAAACCAAAAACCCCCCAAAATCATTACATAATTTATTTAAAACCAAAACCCCAGATGCAAAAAAAAAAACACAATAATTTAAATAATAATAACAACAAAAAAACTAACTCAGATTGAGCGGAATGGGGTTTTGAAGAAGAGCCAGATCGCACGTGTAGTTTAAATTAGAGCAAAATTGAGTGTGAATCTCGCTTGCTGCGCTAAAAACAGGAAAACACAGAACCCGATTTGTATGGACACAGTGGTGTGTGGTAAATGGTAAAGGTGAAGCCTTTGCCACAGAAACAAAAATCGGGAAGAAAGGGCTCGGGTGGCTCTCGGATCCGAAGTGGGTCCGATTCGGCGCAAGGTGGCGGCGATGAATAGGAGCTTCCGACAATCGCCGATCAGAAAGAGAAAGTTGCAAATAAAATAGGAATTATTATAAATAAAATGATGATAATTTTCTGAGCAAGTAAACGCTGTTATTACTGAGGTGGTTGGAACAACCTAACGTGCACCGTAGGTGCGTAATCACTAATGACTGCATGACATATTTATTACTTTATTTTCCCCTTTTTTAGAAAAATCTAATAGTATTATTTTCCTTTATTTCACATTTTTTATATGTTTTATTGCAGCCTAAATTATTAAAAAATTTATATATTTTGCGCAAGTTAGAAGTTAGAGAGTGTGTTCTATAGTTGGTGCGAGGTTGGATGATGATTTGGAGAATTACCAGTGACGGGCATAGGACATCTCGTGATGCTCCTCTTGTCATTTTATGTTTTAAATTACCATTGTTTCATCAACAAAATGAAAAATTAATATAAAATTATAGAAAATGATTTAAAACCACCCACCCAGCGGTGACGCGTGATTTTAAAGTAATGTTTATAATTTCATAATATATATATAATATATATATATTATTTAATTCAAACTTGATTACCACTATTGAGACTTTAACTACACAATTTAAATTCATTAACACTAAATACGTAATTATGCTGTGATAAGTTAATGTATCTATTTTTATCTTTCTTTCTTTTTGTTTTTGGATAGAACATTTTGAGGCATTGTATTTCAGTTGGATTTACGAGCTTGAACTTGAGTTTTGTATGTTTTAGGTTGAGTTGTTCTGACATTGATTTAACGTTGTCGATGTGAAATAAGTTGGACTTAAAAAGAGATGGATTTGGGCTAACGTGGAAGGCCCAATGACATTGGTCGCCGAAAGTTAGAAGGAAATTAATGTAAGCATGGACCAAAAATAACATTAATGAAATGATGTTGAGTACAGAATCAATGGGACAACAGTTGAATCTTGAAAAATCTGGTTGTGCCAAAAATTGAAGTGGTTGGATTGGATGCACACTTTGAGTCAATGATCACAGTCACATGTTTGTTTGTCCACTGTGTTGATTTTGCTTGCTCTGTCTCAATCAATGTAAGAAGGACACTTTGTTTTTCTTTTTCGTATTCTTCAACACTACTCACTCACTGTCACACTGTAAAAAATTATCTTATACTCTGCTCTCACTCGAGCAATTGTTTTATTCACATTCAGTAAATCATTTTTCACCTTCAATAAATCTTATACTTTATTTTAAAATTGTCCTTATTATATATAAAATCTTATTATATTTACAATTTTGTTCCTGTTTCACTTGATTGATAGATTATAAATGTTAATGATAAAACGTATAATTTCATCAAATAAACCAAGAGAACTCGAAATAGTAAATCCATAGTGGAGGAAATCTGAATGGAAGAATTAATGGTGATAAGAGTATGTGTTGTATTTAATTAATTATATGGTTATTTCGTATTTATATCTGTTTTTCTTTGACATCTAATATGATATCGCGTTGTTTTTTCCATGATTTATCCGTCAAACATTAAACTTTTATGTCGGATTCCGTACCAGTTGGAGAATAATAAAAAAACATGACAGCTGTTTAAGCTCTGATTTGAAAATGGTGACTAGAAATACCACTTTGTTCTAAATGGATTAATCCAACGAAAAAAGAGATTAGTTAGTTTTCAAATAAAATTCTGATTACTTGTTTTTTTGATAAAATATGTGTTTTATGGCTTGGTCAATTGTAATCTTATCCTTTGCGTTGGATGTACATCTTATTTTAAATTAAATTCGTACAAGTTTTTTAATTGAATCTTAACTTTAAAGTAATTCATTTCTTTTTGAGGAATTATTGGACATTTAGATAGTTTACTTTAATTTGACTTAGACTTATTTAATAAATACCCAAAACAATATGTTTTTTAACAAAAGAGAGTAGGATTACGCTTTTAAAAAAAGAATTGGACTTAAAAGTAAAGTATATATAATTCAATAAAGACTTATAAGTATTATTTTTTGATTTGTGTACCTTTTTTCTACGAAAATGTCTCGAGACTAACGCTTAGTACTCATAATTACATTCCTTAACCCACGTTACTGCGTTTATATGTTGGTTTATATAATATCAAAAGAGTTACTATATCCCAAGTCTTTTTGAAACATTATACTTGCAAAATAGGTTTTTAAACTCTTATAACATTCATACTACACTTAAATAGTCTAATGTTACAGTTAACAATCATTAAATGTCACGATCTGTTTCTCTTACTCCAAAATTTGGGCGTACTGAATGGGCTGTGCTTGGTTTCTCTTGTCAGTTCTATATTAATGTTGGTGTTTATGTTTGTTTATTTTACTAAAATGTTTGAGTTGGTGTTATTTGGATCTTAGATGGAAGTGATTTTAGTTTTAAAATTAAAAATACTTACTTATTCTTTTTGTTCCAAAACTGTTAGCAGACATGGAAACGAGGTTATATGTGATATTGGAAAAGATGTTGGGCGGGTCTTAGTTTCTGTTTCAAGAGTTCAGTTGTGAAGTGAGTTTTGTTCCTACATGGAAGCGAACAAGGAGGAAGCACTTAAAGCGGTAGAGATTGCTGAAAAGCGATTTGCTGTGAGGGACTTTGCAGGTGCAAAAAACTATGCTGTAAAGGCTAGAACACTTTGTCCAGGATTAGAGGGTATATCACAAATGGTGGCCACATTTGAAGTTTACATCGCCTCTGAGGTCAAACATAATGGTGAGCTAGATTACTATTCGATTCTTGGATTAAAACCTTTTGCAGATAAGGAGGCTGTGAAGAAACAATACAAGAAGTTGGCGGTGTTGCTTCACCCAGATAAGAACAAGTGTGTGGGAGCTGACGAGGCATTTAAGCTTGTTTCCGAGGCTTGGACTTGGCTATCAGATAGTGCTATGCGCAGTTCTTATGATCTCAAGAGAAATGCGCAGTTGGGTGGGACTAACCAGATGAATCTGTCTCCTGCCCATGCTACAGGGGCTGCAGGTTATAACAAATGTTCCAATTTGTCAACCCCTCGCGGTGGGCTTGACACCTTTTGGACAATCTGCACCTCTTGTAAGGTTCAGTACGAGTATCTGCGCAAGTACGTGAATAAAAGACTGTCTTGTAAGAACTGCCGTGGCACTTTCGTGGCTGTCGAAACTGGGGCGGCCCCGGCAAATGGTTCATTTCCATATTGTCCTTGGTCATATGTGCCAGGAAATGGGTATGCAAGTCATTCATTTGATGGTGTCTCATATGTTCCAACCACTGCCCCCTATTTCAATGGGAATGGGGTTGCAGGATATCATTCTGGACATGGATATGAGTACGTTCCAAATGTTTCATTTCAGTGGGGATCTGCAGGAGTTGTTAATCAAAACGGATCAACTACCTTACCTGCTGATTCTGTCAATCGGGCAAATGGAAATGTGAAGAGGGGAAGACCAAAACTCAAAACAGGAGCTGATAAGAGGCATCATGTAGCAGAGATCATGGTGAATACAAATTCAGATGTACCATTCTCCTATAGTGAACCACAGGAAGATAAACTAAGTAGACCTGACAAGAAACAGAAAGTTGTTGTGGGAGGCACTTTCAGAAATGGCTACGAAGAAAAGGGTTCAAAATGTGATCTAGAGGCAATAGTGTCTAACGGAAATGATAGCACTGGACACGGCCAGAAACCTTCCTGTGCAGTTGAAGTTCAAACCAAACATTGTTCCATGGCACCGGCATTTGATGCAAGAAAATTATTGATTGAGAAAGCCAGGACAGTAATCAGGAAGAAACTGGAGGAGATGA